TTGTAACTAAATGTATAAAGATTTAAACTCTAAAGCAAATATTTTAATGGTACTAGAACATTAAATTATTTCAAGATTGATGGCAAAACTTCATAATTGTAGCTTGTCTCGTAGATTTCAGTCTCTTACTAATGATATAACACTTGAATTAGCGAAGATTTATATATAAACTTTCAATAAAAGGATACCTAATAGCCTTCCCTTGAAAGCAATCTAAGAGGTTAATAGTTGAATCTTCTATCTTGGTAGGTTGAGGTCAAAATCTTTAAACTTATTATTAGTGATCTTATTAGAGATTCTATATGGATGTTATAGAGGGGCGATTTTACAAAGAGTGTACTGCTATAAAGATGGATATTGCTTTTATGGGTAAAACCTTGTTATGAAGAGGTAAAATATAATATAAAAAATCGGTTCCGAGAAAAATTTAGCTTTTATAATGAATTGTTGTTATATGATGATGCTGTTATAGAGAGGTCTGACTGTACAATATTAAGACCTTTCTATAAGAACATCTCTATATAATAGTTACTAGATGGCTTCTGCATGTGCATAGCATGGGCCCAATGCTGTAGAATATGAAATTACTATTTATAATTAATTTGTTTTGACATGAAATTGCATAGAAGAAATAGACATTGAGACATCATTGGAAAGTGACACAATATTTCATCCATGTGAATACTAAATATACATATAGTTATTTACATAACGACAAAAAGAGATGCATTTTACTTCCAAAGCAGCATAACTTTTACATCCATGAGAGTATCTATATTCACAAAAGGTGATTCTTTCTCCATACTGTAATTGTTCTTCTTTGTAGTGCAACAAAAGTACTGACATCTGCAAAATCACAGAAAAAGATCAAGTTTCAGTACCTATATAACATAATGAATTAAGTTTTAGGGTAATATCAATGCAACCGATTTTTTCTAAAGCACTTTTTCAGTGTGGAATGATGCCTCCCTACAAGATTAACACAAGTAGGCCTTCTGTTACACTATTATTGATCAAACAATCCTTAATGATACAAATCCTAAGGCAAAGCATGTCAATTTTCATTGAAGAACAAACTCCTTTAATGAAAGGATAATGAAACACACAAACACACCCAAAAAAGAAAAGCAGCAAAATTTAGAGAGACATTATCTTATAGCGCTATTAATTAATCTCAATTGTAATGCAAATCACATCGTGATTCAACAGGTAGATTGTTGACAAATTCTATCTTTTAAGCCTTCTGATTTTCAGAAGTATAAGCAAAGAGGTACAAGCAAAGAAAACACCAATCATGGTGTGTTTGACCCATCATGGTGCCCATCTCAGTCTTGCAACTATGACCAATGCAGTTGTTTCAATACTTAAGTCTTTGGGGGAAGACCCATCAAGGAAAGAGATTGTAGGTACTCCATATTGTTTCTTGAAGTGGTCACATTTACTTCCTTTTCAAGGTGCTGTGCATATAGGTTATTACTCTTCAAATGGACTTAATTCTATTGGAAGAAGCGAATTGCAGTCAATTGTACATTTCTAAGGCTTCAAACTGCAAGTACAGGAGAGGCTTACCAGGTAGATAGCCGAGGCCACTTCACACAAGCATGATATCTGGAGAAATTGAGAAGTTTAGTACAACTACTACATGCTTTTCCTTAAACTTATGTTGCATACAATTGCATTATCCCCTTTGAACACGGCGTGATGTTGAAGGACAGAATAGAAGTTGTGTATGATAAAACAAAGAGATCACATTTTTCCCGAGCAGGAAGTAGAATGATTGTAAACTTAGAGCACATTATGCTCACTATCCACATTTAAGACTACAGCTAGTTTCCTCAGATGTTGGGGAGAATGATGCGTGCCACAAGTTGAATATGAGGGGGTTTTTATGGCCACTCTTAGCATGTTCAATAGTTTAAGAAAATGACGATGCTCAACTGTTGAAATGACTTCATCCTTGGCCAAGAGCAAGAATTAGGGGAAGTGAAGGTTTGAAGACATTGTTCGCCTTTTTTTTCATGTTTTGTCTTTATTAAAAAGCATTTTCAATAATGAGGAAGACATGGTAAATTTTTCTTAAATCATTCTGTATTGACATGTTAATAAACCATGAAGAATGAGTTAATTGAGTAATATGGGAGACGGGGTAGTATAATAGGCTGTTAGTAAATAGGTTAACTAACCTAATATCACACCAACAAAAGATTAGCTTTAACCACAGGCAGAAAGCAGCAATATAACTATGGCTTTAACCGCATCCAAAAAAGCAGCAAAATACCTTCAAATGCCTCCCAAAATAGCAGCAAAATGTGGCTTCAACTTCAACTAAGAGAGCAAGTGAAATTAAGTAAATATGTTGTACATCGATTAAAATTGCTAGAACGTTCCAAGAGAAAATTAAACAATACTAAGAGGTGCAAGAACAAGTGTACGTAGGAACTACACATGTTGATCTATTCTTTAGAACTATCATATTAATTACATCTTAAAATTAATTATAAGATGAAAGAACAACAACTTAATTAAAAAGTTCAAATACCGTACAATTACTTTTTCAAAGGAGGAGTCCTTATTTCCAAGCCCCGCTTATAGTAGGAAGCACTGTCTTTGTTAGTTGTCTCTTGAGCTTCTCTTCCCTCCAAGCCAAGGCGTTCAATTTTGCGTTTGCTCCCCTCGGCAACATCCATCATGGTTGGTGGGAACTCTTGGTGGATCTCATTGTCTTTGTTCATGTAAGATAAAATGGACAACTTTTGCACTGTATCATGATATTTTGTGAGTAATTTTTTCATTTGAATTTTGAATATCTTTCCACTCAACTGTTTCTGCACATCCGCAAGAGGTAAAATTTGTTTCTGGGAGGACGAAATTGGTTAGTTACGCATCAAGAGAGGGTCATTTTGCCATTGATACTTGTTTGTATGTTTTTGAAGCTAACAGTAATATGAAATATGTACCTTGACATGGTAGATGTCATAAATTTCTTCTGAGCTGAGGCATAACATTTTCTCGGCAGGTTTGTCAGAAATAATGGCTGTTGCAAAACCACTATTGTCTCTAACAGTGACTTCAAATTGACATCTGTTATAATGTAGAGCAAATATTTGGTTAGATGAATAAAAATAAAATAACTGTAAACTCTAAATAGTCATTAGTCATATAGAAGAATCTAGTAGCATTTATACCTTGGAATTAGATGAGCGGATCGTTGACAATTTGTACAATAAATTGTCCTCCGAGAGAAAGATCTCGTGAACAATTGCTTACAGTCAGAACAAGCTAACACACAAAACTGTTGGTTCTCATTTGGCAGAGAAAGTTCAGCTTCGACATAAAATACTTGTCCCTATATAATTCAAGAATGCCACATATTTCTTTTTTGTGACTACAAAAATTAATTAAATTTCGATAGAATAATATAATTTATGTTGTTCTTACTTGAGGTTGCGCTTGGATATTGGAAATAGCTATGATTTCATCCTCAAAGGGAACCACCATAACAGAGCCTGTGGAAGATGTACTCTTTATCTTGTATGCATTAAGCATTGGTTCAATTGTTTTGGCCCTACAAGGTAGTCAAAATCTAAAAAATTTGTTCTTGTATATATTAATGCATTTATATCAACAATATGCTTCTACAGATGCATAATTCACAAAGAAATACATGCATAATACCATGACTTCAACTCAACAGCTTGTGGGTAAGGAGGATTGACTTGGATTGTTGTACTAAATTTGTTCGACAGTCCACTGAATTTGTTCGACGATCCTACATGCATTCAAATATTAAGATTTGATTTCATTGTTTGATATTTGAAAAGGAAAAAGGTAAAATCATGTAAGTACTAATATCTGATGATGATCTACCAATTTTTCTAGCAAGAATAACTGGGTATTCATTCAGTTGTTTCAAAATTTTATTCCCATAAAGATCAATGAAATCTTCCCAGAGTGTGAATTTTGTTTTTTTTCCTGTAAACAATGAATAGAAGATGTTCAAATACTATATTGAAGCCTCATGAAGAAAATACAATATTTGCTACCAGGCTCTCCCGTGGGAACTTGTAAAATGATTCACAAACCCAAAACTTGAAGCATATAGAAGAATTATGAAATGAGCATGAGATGACAACAATTCATAATATTGATGATTTATATATTCTGATATAATTGGTCATTACTTTCAACCAACATACTCTCGTAGCAAGGAAGTTAAGTAAATGTAACAAAAATTGATAGCTAAATTTGAACTTGGACTATAAAATAAACCTCAAATGTAAGACATTCTTTATTTACAAGGTAATATAAATTCAGAAGTCACAAACATGAAGACACAAAAATTGAAAAAGTAAAATACCTGCCATATAAATAAAATCTCCCAAATATTTAAGTTGCAAAATCAAAAGAAGTCAAGTGCTTAGGGAAACAAAGAACGAAATATTTTACTTTGCAATCACATAAATCAAGTATCCAAGCTACATCACATATACTTTAAGCTTAGGAGGTCAATATGAAACTGTGAACAATAACAAATATCTAGCTTAGACAAAAAAAGGATGTCCACATACAATGGACAATGACAGAGAGTCAAACTGCACTTAACATTTCTGCAATGTTTGGAAAATTGCGAAGCTTGGGAAGAATTGGTCTTTTGAATCGGTTAGCGTCCAAGTTGAAAATCTTTCATTTTCATAACAAGCTAATCTCCTTTTTATGAAATTGTAGCTTTTTGTATTATACTAAAACTAATTCAAATAACTAAAAAGCCAGTTTTATTCTGAACAAAATGTTCCCTTAATATATCATCAGGGCAACAAATTCTGTTAATCTCAAGGAAAGAACTAAATCATTCACAGAGTTATTGGAATAATGAGAGAAGCATTTGAATGATATTTGTATAAATCAGGATAAGTAACTCGGAAGAGCATATTCAACGATTCTTTTTCAGAAGTAAAAGGAATAATGAGAGAATGAGGAATTTCAATTTTTCCATAGGCATTTTATCTTTCTTTTTCATCACCAATTCTCATTAAATATTCACAAAAAGCAGGATCTGTTTTCGCACGCATATTCTCTGATAGTTGTAGTTTTTCAAGTTGATTCCAAATTTCAGAGCACAATAAACTTTCACGAATAAAATCTTCCTTTTTTCCACTACGAACTACGGGAAGAGTTTGTCTAAAATTACCACTGAAGACAACTACCTTTCCACCAAATATTATATTAGTTTCCATTAGATCTCTTAAAAGCAAATCGATTGCTTCTACCGTTTCCTTTTTTGCCACTGAAATTTTATCCCATACAATTAGTTTTGCATCTCGTATTAAAGATGCTAATGAACTTTGCTTACTACTATTGCAGCTGAAATTCTCATTAACATCAATGGGAATTTTAAAGCAGGAATGAGCAGTTCGACCTCCAGGAAGAAGTGAAGCGGCAACACCGGAACTTGCAGTTGCTAAAGCTATAAAGCCTTTGTGCCTCACAGTAGCTAATAAAGCACGATATAAAAAGCTTTTACCAGTTCCACCGGGGCCGTCAATAAAGAATGCCCCTGGTCTATTTGAAAATATTCTGTCAAGAATCATATTGTAAGCTCTTCTTTGATCAATGTTTAATTTATTTTCTAACATTAAATCTTGTTCGCTAACAATGATGTTTCTTTCGAAATGAACATCTTTAGCTTCTTTTGCTGTTGCAGATGGCTTTATTATTTCTGATATTAGTTCAAATTCATTAATATCACGGCCCATTGAATGAAGAATATTGTTAATATGGTTTAACACTTTGTAACAGATTTCTCTTGTATCTATATTCGAATTTTTTTTGAAATCTTCAGACATTGGGTTTTCAAATTTTTTCCATAGTTCTCTTTAATTAGTATGATTACAATATATTAATAACATAGCAAAAAATTATCTTAAACTGGACGACATTTGATAACTTACAGCTTCAGACATACATTCTACCAAATTATTATCACAAAGTAATAATCCTCTTTTTTCTGCAGCTTCTCTAAATGTTTTACATTGTACTCCATTTACAGTTCGCAAATCTTCATATGATTTTGGTCCTCTCACATTCATCAGAAGCAGTCTAAGATAGTATATTTCCCCTTCAGTTGGATGACATGTCACCACACGACCAATAGCACTTCCTCGTTGACGACGTGTCCATGTTTTATCTGTTGTTGACCATACAAAGTATTCTGAAAATTCTCGATATAATATATTTAAGTCCATAGCATCTTTTTTTTCTCAATTCATTAAAAAAAACTCAGTTAACATTATTTTTTTAACCATAGGATTGTTCACAATTTTACTAATATTGTCCGTATTCTTGAAAGAAACAAGTTGTTGTCCATCAAGATGTATCTGAAGATGAAATATATTTGAAAATATTTCACTAATAGGGAAAGCAAATATACGCCATGCAGCCTCAGGTGGTGACACCCACCTAGCAGATTGGTATTCCTTTATTTCATCTATCTCTATGTTTGTATCATTAGCATGTATATCAAATATAATTTTATCATGTCCTTTGCAAATATACTTATAAATGTACTTAACAACTTTAATATCAGAGCAAATCTCTACATTCATATGACAGTTAAACTTACAAAGTAAATATGGATTATGAGGAACAACCCATGAATTCTCAAGAAGGCGTCCTCTTATTTGCACTTTCCTTCCTGTGTTTCGTCTTCGATAAATTGGATACGAATTTTTTCCTTTAGTTGTTTGTTTTCCAAACTCTTATGGATACTTAAATTTACAATGACCTTTTTTTTCATGCAAGAATTTGTTGGATTTGATTCTCCGCATTGACCGTGCATCATATGATCTATAACAAGTGAATATAGTGTAGGATTTTCTTTTTTATCCGGTAATTCAGCACATACAAATCGATCATATGCTTCAGGAGTTAATAATTTATATTTTTCATCAAGTATTATAAGAAAATGAGCATGTGAAAGTCCCCGCTTTTTGAATTCCACTGTATACATAAATGCTGCGACTTTACCAAATATTTGTGTTTTGAGAATATCCTTTTTCAACTCTTTTAGTTTTGCTCAAAATACTCGACTAACTAAATCGGGTCTATTTTGTGTATCATCTATCGTCAGAAGGTTTTTTTTTTATTTCAGGCCAAGAAGGATTACACGTCATAGTCAAAAATATATCTGGTTTTCCAAACCGTTGCACTAATGCAATAGCATCCATATACCTTCGACGCATATCTCTTGGGCCTCCTGTAAAGCTAAGTGGGAGTATTTTTTGTTTTCCAACCTGTGAAGCTTCTCTTTTCCCACATCGTAGAATAGCTAAGAGCCCACCCAATACATCAACTCTGAATAAATCCTGATTAAAAGTAGCATAGTCTAATCTTTAGCTTTTAAGTTTTATCCATTCATCCACAATATATTATTGAAACAATCTTCCAGCATGTAAAAATATATTTTCATCATCTCTTATTTGAAGTGGGTAACAATAAAATTCATGACAAGAAATATTGTCTCTTTTCGTTATCCTTTTTGCATAACCTCAGCTTCCATATCGAGTAATCCATTAATTGAACACTGTGATGACCCAAAAGGTCATCACTTATTTTAGAAATAAATTCTGTGTTCCGAGGCCTTAAAACCTCCTTTTTGTCTCACCTCGATTTGCTTGCACAGTCCGGGCGTGTATCCGGAAAGCTATTATGTAAAAATCTGTACAAAAATAATAAATTCTGCCTTTAAAATGAATTTAGGTTGACTTCGGTCAATATTTTGGGTAAACGGACCCGAACCCGTAATTTGACGGTCCCGGAGGATCCGTAGAAAAATATGGGACTTGGACGTATGCCCGGAATCGAATTCCGAGGTCCCAAGCCCGAGAAATGAATTTTTAAAGAAAATTATTTTCTGGAATATATATGAGTTTTTGGAAATGAAATATGTTTGAATTTGATGGTATCGGGCCCGTATTTTGGTTCCGGAGCCCGGTACAAGTTTGAAATAATATTTTGGTTGAATCTGAAAATTTTGGTAAAGATCGGAATTGGTTTGGTATAAAACGGACTTAAAGTTGAGAAATTGGAAATTTTGGTGTTCTTGAATGATTTCATGAATTTGGGGTTTAATTCGTAGTTGTTGAGGTTATTTTAATGATTTGATTGCACAGCAAGTCCGTATGATGTTTTTAGGTTGGTGTGCATGTTTGGTGTGGAGCCCCGAGGGCTCGGGTGAGTTTTGGATAGGCCACGGAGCGAAATTTGGACTTAGGGAATTGCTGGCATGTTGCAGGTCTGCAGGCTCCGCAATTCCGAAGCCTGGCTCACAAATGCGAGTATTATGTCGCAAATGCGAAAAGCCCAGAACCATCACTACCTCGCAAATGCAAGGTACCCTTCGCAAATGCGAAGTCTTCTATATGTGCCAGTTGTCGCAAATGCGACATTCCCATCGCAAATGCAAAAAAAAACTAGTTTTTGAAGGGTTCGCAATTGCAAACCCTGGTCACAATTGCGACATCAGAGACCTGCTAAAATGAATTTCATACGGGATTTCAACCATTTTTACAACCTTTTCAAAACCTAAACACCTTTGGGCGATTTTTCAAAGACAAGTACTCTTCCAAATCGATTGTAAGTAATTTCTCACTCATTTTCTTTAATCTATAACATTCTTTTTACTTGATNACAGAAAAAGATCAAGTTTCAGTACCTATATAACATAATGAATTAAGTTTTAGGGTAATATCAATGCAACCGATTTTTTCTAAAGCACTTTTTCAGCGTGGAATGATGCCTCCCTACAAGATTAATATAAATAGGCCTTCTGTTACACCATTATTGATCAAACAATTGTTAATGATACAATATCCTAAGGCAAAGCACGTCAATTTTCATTAAAGAACAAACTCTTTTAATAAAAAGGATGATGAAACACACACCTAAGAAAAAAGAAACAGCAAAATTTAGAGAGACATCATCTTATAGGCCTATTAATTAATCTCAATTGTAATGCAAACCACATCCTGATTCAACAGGTAGACCGTTGACAAATTCCATCTTCACGTATATTCCAAAGGCAAAACTTTGTCTTGACATAACTTAGCAACATTATCAAAGTTAAACAACTGAAAAACTCCATGCTTTGGCCCTAAACTTATGTTGCATACAATTGTATTATCCCCTTTGATAATTATGGGAAAAGTAAATGTGTATTCATCTTTCTGTTGAATTGGATGGTCCAAGGTAGTGCTCATGGTTTTGGGTGCACAAAGGTGACCTTTAGCAGGGTTCTAGAATACTTGGCTCAACAAAGCCCCTGCAAGTTAGGTAAGTTGCTATTTCTGTTGCATACCATTCGACGACCCCTTATTGAAATTGGTAATTAACGGATGCTCACTTCTAAGGTCTAAGAAAGTATTAGATGCCATTAAAAGGTGAATCCGTGATACCTCCATTTATCAGTGTGTTGTCTTCCCTCAGCTTGAAGCCACTGAATTAGTTTCTTGTTGGTAGCAAAATGAAGATACATGTTTTTATAGATTAGAATTATCTTCTACAGTAAAAGGCTTCGCAATTACTTCTTAAACTGGATTTGTTTCTTGGTCAATCACTTCTGGGATTTACATCCTTTTTTTTGTGGCTTTTAAGCTTCAGTGCTCATAGCATGTTTGACTGTTTCCTTAGAACTCAAGGCTGACACCAAAAAGATATCACATCCATTATTTTGATCTCTTGACACTACAGATAAGCTTGGCTTGCATTCAATATAAAAAGTACTTAGTACTAAGCAAAATATGAAGGTGATATAGTAATGAGGAAGACATGGTGATTTTTTCTTAAATCATTCTGTATTGACATGTTAATAAACCATGGAGAATGAGTTAACTGACTAATATGGGAGATGGGGTAGTATCATAGACAGATTAGTAAATAGATAAACTAACCTAATATCACACCATCAAAAGATTAGCTTTAACCGCAGGCAGAAAGCAGCAACACAACTGTGGCTTTAACCACATCCAAAAATAGCAGCAAAATGCCTTCAAATGCATCCCAAAACAGCAGCAAAATGTAGCTTCAACTAAGAGATCAAGTGAAATTAAGTAAATATGCTGTACATCGATTTAAATTCATGTGGCATTTTACATTACATTTGGGATGTTTAAGAAGCCAAATGTAATTCCACGCAGATTATAGTATCTCCCGCTAGTGGGGAAGGACGTATATGAGTCCATTTGTAGACAGCAAGGGAAGACAAGGGACCAACTTTTACCAGAGGGCTAGCCTATCCTATTTCATATAATAGAGGGACAGTTTAGGCCCTTTTTCGTAGAAAAAATAACAAATATCCATTAAATTCTCATAACCAAGAAACAAATGCTAAAATCAAAGAAAGAATTGAGAAACACTAAACCTATCAGAAATACTCCCCCCGCCGAAAGGACCCAAATTGCACATATTTTCATTAACATTTAAGGAGGAATTTACGGCTCAAAATAGAGACTGCTGAAATTTCTAAAATCTAGCAACAGACAAAGAAAAGAAAATGTAATAATTCTTACCAGAAACCATAGATTCAGTAGAGGCCATATACAAACAGTAACCACTATGGAGCAATTCGAATAAAGTGAGGCATGGAAGAAGCAGGGTGATTAAGTAAAGAAAAAAAAGTAAAAAAACTCACATAAATTGAAAAACAGAGAAATGAATACTTGGAGCCAAATTGAAAAATGTGTAAGAAAACGAATTCAAG